CGGATCCAGCGGCTCGGCCGGCGCAGAGGCTCGGAGCTGCCAACGGCCATCCCGTTGTGCCGGAGAGCCAGGGGAACCCCCAGGGAAACCCTGCCGGGCTGCAGGGCTTTGCACGGGCTCCTGCTTGCAGCCCTGCTCACAGCCCCATCCCGGCCCCTCGGTGCCCTGCCAGGTGCTATTCAGCAGCAGGACTGGGGCATGGAGCCTTCACCCCTGCAAGGCTGCTGGGCTTCCCCCGGGAATGATGCTCCGGGTCCCGCCAGGAGCCTCTGGCCTGGGGCTGGCTCCGTCCATGGCTCAGAGGGCACCTAGGAGCACCGTGTCCTGCAAGAGGGAAACCCGTCCTCGTGCTGCACAGGGCATGGCAGCACAGCGCGGAAGGGGCAGAGATTGCAGAACCGGGGGGAGGCCATTCCTAGACCTCCAAAAGAGTGGAGGTAACGAGCAAAGCCGCGATGGCAGCCGACTCCCGGGGTGGCCTGGGGGCTCCGTGGAGAGAAGAAAAAAACAGGCACCCGTGGCCTGGGCCCACGATGGCCCCGGCCCCCGTCCGCCAGCAGCGCTTGGAGCAGTTTGAGCTCGACAGTCCAGGGACAGGGGTCTCGCCTGACCCCACACAGAGACAGTGGTGCTGCCCCTTGCTCTGCCCAGGGGGATGCTCAGTGTTGCCCTTTCCAGCCTGACCCGCTGTCGATGCCATTGGCTCCGCGTCCGCACCGGCTCTGCTTGACCCGCCGGCCCCAAACCACCTCCCTTGCCGCCGAAACTTCCCGGCCGGTCTCGGGCTCCCCGTCCCCAGGGCCGTGGGCTGCAGTCGCTCCACGTTACTCAGCTGCTGGGCCGGGAGGTGAATCCCCGGCACCACGGGCAGGAAATAGCTCAGCACAGGGAGTGCAGCAGCCATGGGGGAGCACCCTGCAGCCCCGGCCCCTGCCCTGGGCATCCCTAGGGATGTTCCTGGCTGCAGCAGGTGAGGAGCATCAGACTGGAGGTGCCCTGTTCGCCAGGAAAGGTCCCGGAGTGGCAGTGGGCACTGGGACAGCTCAGCATGATGGCCAGGCCGGTGGCTCTCTCCCCTCACACGGGCGATGCTGCTGCGTGCCGGGATCCGCGCAGCCCCTCTGCAGCACTCCCTGCATGCCTCGTTCCCTGCATCCCGGCGCCTCCGGGGAGCGGAAACCCACTTATTCCCAGGGCTGATGCTCCCGGGAAGCCCACGTACAGCAGCGTGGGGCGGTTTGGCAGCATTTGCCTGGGGTGTGAACGGTGCGCAGAGCCTGTGGGGCTGGGGCTCGCTGCAGGAGGGTCGTTGCGGCCTCGTGTCGTGCTGCGGGGCTGGCAGCGGGACGGAGGAAGCTGCTGCCTGCGCGGTTTCTGTCCGGGAGGGTATTTCGGGGTGTGCCAGGCCCGGCCTCCACCCCCGCTTTCACAAGAGGCCGCTCCAGCGGGAGCAGGTTGTTCTCAGCCCCAGCCAGATGCAGTTCAGAGCCACGAGCTGCCCGGGCCGAGCGCGCTGGAGGCCGCGCAGCCTCCGCTATGGGGCAGGTGCCGTGGGGCCAGACCTGGCTGCTGGGAAGAGCTCCTGGGGATCGGGGACGCTGAGCAGCCTGCCCAGTGCCGGCCGCATCCGCACGTTTTGTGTGGGACAGCGTGGTGGGACCAAGCTGGGGGATGCGTGGACTCCTGCGGCCAGCATCATCCCCATGGCCCAGCACCCGGTCCCCTTCCTCACCCCGCGTGGGGACAGTCCTTGGCCCCGACCAGGTGCTGGGCTCCGCCAGGGCTCAGTGGGGACCGTGCTGGGACCCAGGAGCTCAGGGCTGTGCTGAGGAGCGTTTTGGGCACGTTCTTATCTTGGTGCAGACTTGTCCTGTGGCACCTCGGTATTGTAGCATCCCCTTTTCAACCAGAGCAGCTCTGGCAGGAAAGACAATTTGGAAGGGGCCTCAGCACCAGCAACTGCTTGGATGCTCCCAAGGTAAAACAAACTTACTGAGCTTGCAAAGGTGCGAAACGTCCCTGCACTCTGGTCACATAATTGCTGGAGATAGAAGGCAGGGGACCAGGATGTGATCACAGAGGCAAGAGGGAAAGGGGATGAACATGGTCTCCACCATCTCAGCTGCCTCCTGGGCATCCCGTTCGAGGCAGGACGTGTCCATGTGCTGCCGTGTCCCTGCACGCGCCCCGGCCAGGCGGGCGCCCCCGGGGGCCGCGTCCCGGCAGAGGGAGCTGTGACACTGTGTGACATTGACACGCGGAGCCGCCAACCCGCACGCTGGAGCGGGACTGCAGGAAAAACAGCTTGGGATTCACAGCCTTCCTGAGGAGCCACCAGCTCAGCACACTCCATTGCCTGGAGTGCTCTTGCCTGGAAATCAAGCCAAGATTATTCCAAATATAAAAGCATTTTTATCTCTAGAAACTACTTGTAAAAGTTAAGAGCAGATTTTGCTGAGGTGCCTTTATGAACCAGCCTGACTAGCGCTGCCCTCCCTGCGCGGCCGCGCTGCGAGCAGGGCAGAGCAGAGCACCCCTGTGTGCACGGGGATGAGGGTGTCACATGCACCCTGCCAGAAGTCACTGTGCTCGGGTTATCCCTTATCGTTTGCATCTCTGAGATGGGGCCAGATAAACAGCTAGGGAAACCCAGGCGTAGCTGAGCGTGTTCCTCGAGCTGTGCATGAAGGGGCAAAGCAACCGTCTGCTTGCGGGAAGGGTTTATGTCCACGGAGGCTCTTGTGCCCTGCCAGAGCAGCCAGCGTTTCTCACAAGGGTCAGACTGGAGCTTCCCCTCTCTCTGCTGGAGCCAGGGCTCAATCCTCCCTGCGAGGAGCCCGCGGAGCCCAGGCCCCCTCTGCGGCAGCAGGGGCACCGTGAGGTTGGTGTGTGGCTGCTGGTGCTGTAACGAGGCAGGCTGGGACACGACCACGACAGGAACCAAATAAACCCAACTTGGATTTGTTTAGATCCAGGAGACCTTTCAGGCCTTGTAGCATAAGCCTAAGATGGGATCCCCTGGTCGATGGGGTTGTTTGATCCACGGTTGTGTTTCTGCTGTGGCCCAGCTGCCAGCCACCTCCACTGCAGTTTCAGTGCCCCGTAAGTAGCCTATGGGCTGTCTAATGGCCGTCACGTTGTCTGTGGCTTTACTATCTCGCCTGAATCAGGTCCAGCAACAACGTAATCCAGGCGGCACTTCTCTGAAGCGGTGGTTTGCATCACGGCCTGCACAGGCACCTTGCCAGCGCGGACATGTTGACTCTCCCCCGTTGGGCTGTGTCACTGCCAGGTGAGATCAGGTGAGGACGCAGGTCCCCAGCTCGCTGCTGCACCCAGAAATGCTCCTGCCACCCACGAGCCACCCATGCAGCATCCCGTGTGACACTGCAGCACCGGGGCTGGGAGCTGAGGGCCTGGAAAAGGAGCGTAACGGTCAGTGAGAGAAGTGACAGGTCTGTGTGGAAGCCCTGACACCCACAGCCCAGAGCGGGGCTGTGTCTTGAGCATCGCTGGTTCGGAGCTGCCCAGAGGAGCCTCCTCGCTGCAGCCCAGCGGTTCTGCTCCGGCACCGGGCTCGGCTGGGGGAAGCTCCTGGAGGAAAATGCCCAGGCCCTTTACACAGAAACTGCCTGCACAGCGCAGAGCCCTGGGGAGACAGGACAGAAACGTTACCGCTGCAGGACAACCTGTGTGACCGGGGTGCTGAAAAGCATCCGGCACCCCATTGAAAGCACAATCTTCGTTCCAGTCTCCCTCAAGAGAGCCCAGACTTATTTCATAAATGACAGATATCAGAGCTGGGCTATCTCTAGCTAAGACACCCAAAAAACAAGACAATTAAAGCTCACCCCTGATAACACAGTATCAAACAACATACCCAAAGTAACCAAGAACCAGGAGAGGGGCCAGGAAGCCCCGCTTTGCTGCACCTCCATCCCAAACCCAATATCAAGAACTTTGCTCAAGGAAGACTGGGTGTAATTATTTATTTTGGGTCCCTTTGAAAAGACCGTCGCGCAACTCCTTCCACTCGTGGCTTTGTGGTTTCTCAGCCCGTGACTGCATTTCCTAGCCACCTGCGTAGCACATCCGTGTCCCTTTGGAGAGCGGCCACTGTTGGATGAAGCTGCCTGGTCCGAGCTCAGCAATCACCCCTCGGCACCAGGAATCCCTTGGGAACACTGCACGGCCGAGGAGCAGAGCGAGGGAGCGGGAGGGCAGTTCAGAGGGACTGATGGGGACTGCATCCAGCTGCCCCAGGAAAAGAGTCTCTGGCTTGTGTTTTCTGGCAACTTAGAACTGGTTTTTGTTTCTGCTGCTGCTGCTGCTGCTGCTATTTGCAAAGGGAAAGATAAAAATCTATTAGCACCCTGGGGATCCAAGAATGAGCAGTATTGAAAACCAGCAAGAAACACACAGATGTTTAAAGGCTGAGAAGCCCAAACAGCCCAGGGGATTGCAGTGTCAGCGGATATGACCGTGGGGAGACCCAGTCTCATGCCACCCATTCACCTCAAAGGCAGGCGTGTGGTCCTTTGGGACCAAACCAGCCAAACCCTGGAAATGCCAAAACAGCAAGAACAGCTCCAACCCAAACACGCAATCTCCAAAGGTTTGAGTAAGAACTCAAGCATTCGAGGAAGGTTTCGGAAAGCCAATGGGCACTGGCCTCCATCTGCTCCCGCTGGAGCACTGCGGTTGATTTCCTAACACCTTCAAGAGGTGAAGAGTCAAGACAAGTGTGAGCGTGGTTGAAAATCCCAGCTACAAGGACTCAGAAGAACCAGACCACAGAGCAGTCCACATTCATGTAGGTTATGAAACAAAACTTCATGTCCCGCCCAGCCGCTTTAGGGCTGTTGAGTAATGAACTAACACTGTTGCCACCTTTCCAAACTCTCCTTGTTTCCACACAAGCAGGAATTTGCCCACACGAAGAAGCACAGCAGTTGCCTGGATTCTTCCAAGTAGGTTGAAACCAAACCCTTACGTTACCCACATCTCCACTGGCTGAAAAGTTTAATCGCTCAGTAGCCGCCTCTCCTACTTACAGTTCTGTGTCCACGATGATGTCTGGCCTCTCCAAAGTCTGCCGTCTCCGCTGGATGGCATCCACAATCTTTTTCCTGGGGCCCAGTGGGATATTGATGCTTTTCAGATCATTATCTGAACACAGCATGAGGGCCTCCAAGTCAATCTTTTCCTTCTTCAAGATGGAGATGAACTCAAACATGTGCAGGGAAGCCAGGAAAGTCTCCAAGGGGCTGGTGTCTGGTTCATCATCGTCATCTAAGCCCAGCTCCACCTCGTCCCAGGGTAGCTCCTCTGCGTTCCTCTCCTGCAGGCTGTTGGCACTGCCAATGCTGTCGTTGAGACTTGGCGAGCGCTGCAGGCGGCTCCGCAGTTTGACACCTACCCCGTCGGCGTTGCTTTCTCCCGGTGCGCCAGCGTCCTCCCGGCCGATCCCGAAGAGCCCGCTGCTCACGTAGTTGCGCCGGAACACCATAGTGCCCAGCCCGGGGCGGTTGAACAAGGAATCATGGCCAGAGTCGGTGCTGACCTCTGAGTGGGCTGAGTCCATATGCAAACCTGGATCGCTTATGGCACGGGAGACGGTATCTTCATCCGTGAGGAACATGTCTCTGATGTTACGCCGAGTCCACTCCTTGGGGCTGGCGTATGTGCCTTGTTTCACAAACATGACATCGTTCCCTAGCTGCAGGCCAGACAGAGACCGCACACTCTTCCTCCCATCCTCATATATTTTGAATGTCCCATCCACTTGCTTCTTCTTCTCTAGCTTCTTCTGTATTTTTGTCTTTCCCTTGGCTGTACCATGGATGGTGGCTTGGGAGTATGGCAGGGAAGTCACCATAGACATGTGTTGGAACTTCTTACTTAAAGTGCTACTCGAATAGCTAGAGAAGCTCATGGTGTCTGAGCTATCTGACATCTCCTTTTTGTACCGTTTCTCCATCCTCTCGTGGTGCTTCTTTTGCAGCTTCACACAGTCCTTAATCCTCCGCTCGGCGTCGCGGAAGGCCTTGTCCTTCAGCTTGCTCACCAGCTTGGGGTTGAGGCTGCTCTGCTTGGCAGCGATGGAGTCCAGGTAGCGCACGCACTCCATGTGGCCCTTCATGGCTGCCATGTCCAGCGGCGTGTGGTAGTCGTTGTCCAGGCACCAGATGTTGGCCCCAAAAGAGATGAGGAAGGAAAGGCAGTTCAGGTGACCATTGGCTGCTGCCAGGTGGAGAGGGGTGTTCCCCCAGATGTCACATTTGTCTGGATCCCCTCTAGACAACAAGGAAAAGAGCTGGTTAGCGCACGGGCCTGCCCGGCAGACTCTACTGAGATATTTCCTAGAGAACAAGCTATTGCACTTGTGCAGTGGCAAATCAATAGCACCAGCTCCATGAATCATCCCCTCCTCAAAATACAAACCCACATGCCTCCAGCCCCCACAACTTCACTTTTAAACCTTCTGGAGACTCGTACCAATGACATGGAATCATGTTCCTGATATGGAAGCCTGCGGCAATTCCCATAACTGAACTTAGCTCTCAAGGGACATGTTCCTGCATCCAAACGATCTTTGGAGAGAGACAGGCTGGATTCTAACTAGACCAAAATTGAGATGTGGGGCAGATTCCAGCTTAGGTTTTTAACTTACAAAATTAAAAAAATAAAATTCTGTTAAATCTTATGCAGATTCCAGCTTCAAATCTTGGCTTCATTCTCATTCCGTGCAGAGATATCCTAAAATATCCCTGCATACACCCTGTCCTTGGGGAGGGTCCCACCATGGTGTAATATCATCAAGAAATGGGCCATCCTAGGCACTGGTTCTGAAAACTGCCAGCTGCTGCTCGCTCTAACTCAACGTGAACTAAATCCTCCCCTCCTCTCTCATTCATATGAAAACTCAAGACAGAAGAGGACATTATGTCAATAGAAAATAAGAACAGAGTTGTTAAGAAGACACAATTTAAACAGAAAGCAAGAACAGAGTTGTTGGCATGGGCCTAGGGGCTGGCTTTTTGTGGGGGTTTTTGCTGTCCCACGCTGGGTTTCGATTGCATACCTCGAAGTGAGTTGGTGTTAGCACATCCTGAGAATCTAGTTTCAGAGAAAGTGCAGATTAGGTTTCTGCACTCCTCAAGGGCTGGACACCCGACTAATGCAATTAGCAGCTCTTCTCACTTCGTGTCAGCCCCTATCCCCGCAAGCTGTCGATGGGGCACAGCCGCTTGCCCACATCTCCCATCTCTTGCGATGTGCTGGGCCCACGGAGCGGGATCGACGTGAACCCGGCACTCGAGGCAGCTCCGCGCTCCTGGCATTCCTCTGTATTTATGATGTGCTGAAACAAGAGCTCGTTCACACCCGTGCTGGCACCGGGCTCTCGCCGGAGCACGCGTGCTAGCGATACGCAGCCAGCAGCAGTACCTGTCAACAAGGCTCCCGCCGCCGCGCCGCGGCCGAGGCCGAGCCTGGCCTGGAGGCCGTGCAGCTCCACCGCTCCCAAGAGCGCCCGGCCGCACTGCAGCTCGGCACAACCCCTGCCCGTTGACCTGCCGCCCTTCCCAGGGAGCTCCAAGGCCTCTCCCTCAGCCATGAGGACTCCAAATCCAGACGCTTGCCTGGAAGGCAGCGTTTGTAAGAGGGTTCAGCCAGCCCAGGCATGAGGATGCTCACTCGAGGTCTTCAAAAGAGAGAGCAAACGCTGGGAGAACCAGTGGTCTGGATGGGGAATGGGCTGGGATGAGCAGAGCACAGAGGTCTCTCCTAAACCCCACGTGTCCTCTGTGCTACTGCCCATGTCCCTTGAAAGAGGCTAAAAGGGCTTCAGTGAGAGAGAGCCAAGATTGCTAGAGCCAGGACTTCTCCCCCTGCCAGCTTTGCAGCTTTACACCCTCACTGCTGGCGTTCATAGAGCCAGCAACGTCCCCTTCCAGCACACGAGTCCTCACAAGCTCAGGGCACACGCCGGGCTCCCCAACACCCTGCTCTGAACATTTGTGCTCAGCTAACGGTGGAGTTTGAGCAGAGCTATGCAGGCTCTTTAAGAACTAGCTTCCAGTTTTCAGGCTTTGCCAAAAGATTGTAGCTATCTGATATGGAAGAGGAATGATTCTGGAAAGGGCATAAGGAATAAAGCTGGCATTCTGAAGTTAACTGGAAATTATTTGCATTTGGAGCATGAGTTTCCCATCAGGACCCATTAACAGCCACTGTGAGGTGCATGCGGCTTTCCCCTTACTGGGAGCACCAATAGCCACTCTCTATCAGGCACCTATTTTCACAACATTTGTAGAAATTTAGTATTTCTACAATCTTGAGTCTTGCAAATTCAGCAAGAGCCGGTTAAAAGGTTTAAAAAATGTGCAAGCAAACTAAGCCTTGAAAAGAAAAAAAAAAAAAGGAAGAATCACAAAGCCCTGCAGAACTTCTGTATTTAGAGCCTTCAGCATCTCTCATTGAAGCCAAGAAAGGCTTCAAAGAAGAGGCCTTGGGAGAGCAGGGGAGGCCACAGGAACGAAGGAGCTGTGAAGCAGCTGAAGCAGAGGAGGGGACCTGCCACTACTGTGGCAAAGACAAGTTGCCAGAGGAGGTAACTCCCTCTCCACCCCCTACCCTCACAGTGACATGTCCAGGCTGGGAAATTCATGGGGAACATAAATATTTGATGAATTGCAAGAGAGGAGTAAATTATTGATGGAGCCGGATTAAAGAGCCAGTGAAACTA